ATATTTTTCATATCTGTATAAACAACTTTAGATATAAATTTCGAGTCGTTATTGTTTTTATACTGGCACAAAGTGCTGGCTCATTACTTCGATCATATATGACTCCTAAAAGATTCATATAAGAGTAAAAAAATTTTTGTTTTTGGAAGTCTTATTTTCTACCTATTTCCTACTCCTTTCGGACTCATATATTCTGAGCGCTCAAAATATGTTTGCGGGGCTCCCACCTTTAGTTCACACACTTTGAAATATTTTTGCTTCAAATTTGTATGAACTAAATAAAAGTGTGAAGTGTATGAACTAAAAGTGGGCAGGGTAATATACGTATAGCTGTCATATTCATTTCAACCCTACACCTTTATTATCTATATCGAACGATTCGTCTACGAATGCTACAAAAATTAGCAAAATCACTTTANCTCACACGTACACAAAAATGTACAGTAGAATAGGGTAAAATTTTCACATTGATGTTAAGAAATTCGTAGAATCTTTACCCAATACACCAGGTAAAGCTACCTGTAAATATGGAGTATTTTGCCAGTCTGTTGTGGTAGGGATTTGTGTTTTTTTTTATTGTTGAATACTTACTGGCAATTCTTGAAACTATTGCTGTTACAAATTATTTGCATTGTGTAAGCCAATATTATGTTTGGTCACTTCAAAGATTCAGCACTTGACTTTTTTTGAATCAAAACATTTCAGCAGATAATTTGTTCTGCTTTTTACATTAAACACCAGTCCTAAATGAAAAGATTCNCTTTTATTGTTGAATACTTACTGGCAATTCTTAAAACTATTGCTGTTACAAATTATTTGCATTGTGTAAGCCAATATTCACCCTCATTGCGAGAGTCGTCTCAAATGCAAGTCGTTTTTCGAAAGTCGAATCGTATCGAAAATTTCACGTCATTGCCTAAAATTTCTACTCGACTAGTGTATTAAAACGGGAAAAACTTGGCGTACTGTATAGTTTTCGACGGTTTTGGTCGTTTACTTATTTCAGTACGACAATAGACAATGCTACTGTTGTCGAGTCGTACAATTTAGCCTAATTTACGACTTACGCAATTAGTCTGATTATGTTTGGTCACTTCAAAGATTCAGCACTTGACTTTTTTTGAATCAAAACATTTCAGCAGATAATTTGTTCTGCTTTTTACATTAAACACCAGTCCTAAATGAAAAGATTCTTTCTTACTCCGCGCTTGAATTAGTTAACGTGAGAAAAATTTCAAAATTGTCCTTAAAATTCTTAATACTTATACATGATTTTACTCCATATCACATCTTCAGAACGATTAATTACGCAAGAGTGTCGAATATTCTTGAATTTTGATCAGTTTATTTGAAATGTCCCTTTATCCCTTTTACTAATTTTTGTTGCAAAATTTCCCGCAAATAGGGAAATTACCCACAATCTGGCATCACTGAACCGGGCTTGAACCCAGGCCTTGCGGAATGGTAGCGCCCACTGCAAACCACTACACCACACTGACCGCTGAGGTATATCGGTTGTATTCTCCATAATATGCACAATTTCCACTCTGCTGGGAGTTGGTGTTCTTAACTTTTAACTCTTTTCCCCGGTAGGCCTACTCCACGACTTACTCTAGTCCTGTTTAACTAAATAATATTGTTTGGAATAAAAATTGAACTATTGGAAGTGATGAAAGCGGTGCGAATTGAAATTAATTAGGAGAAACTAGTCATCTAATTAGTTATTACACTAGTCTAGAGGAAATAATACTTGTGGCACTAGACTATCATTTTTTATGTAAAATTTTCCGCTGAAACCGAATAGTTTTTGGGATAAAGCCTTTTGAATTTTTTTTTTGGATATAGCTGGCCAATATCATATTCCTTTTTACAATAGTGATGCTTATTAAATTTGCTTACATCTTTGTAAGCGATATTTTTCACCGGATTTGTAGTTTATGGGCTAACCATTGATTTATGGACCATTTTGCATGATTAAAAAAAAAATATAAAAATTACTTTCGGTACAAATATCAACATGTTAGCTTCCGGATTCTTAGACGTTAAAGCAGGTTCTTTCACAAATACAGCAAGGCCATTGTCATCTAAATTGATTAATAAATATAAGAGTTAGGAGCACTTAAGTAAAGATACAAACAAAAAGTTTCCATAAAAATTCATGATTTGCATATTAGGAGAAAACACCTTTTACTAAAATTTTGAATTGCTACATATTAGAAATGGTAATTCTTTGGAACAAAAGTGTCAAAACAGTTTTTATAGATAATTACTTGATTTACACTTTTCGTTTCTTTTTGTATTTTCTATTAGATACTTTAATTTTCTTTTGCTCATCGAGGACCAATTACATAGCACTGTATGGTGATGTAAATTTAATGGCGTTTTCGTTTCATCCGAAAAATGTTACTTTGCCATTGCCCTCAAAGCACAACACTAAGAACCGGGCAATGAAAAAGCAACATATTTTGTAGAAACGAAAGCGCCATAAGTAAATACAGTTTTTAGAGATTCCTCGACTCCAGCGACACAGATAGCGACAATTTTTAACAAAAAGTATTTGTATTTTCGTGGGTAAAATATGTTGTGAATTTGAATCAAGTCAAACTGTAAATATGTGACCTGGTCTACGGAAAGGGGGCTTAGGTGTCAAAAAATCAATTTTCACTTTTTGGTTGATTCGGATGGAAGATGAGATGCTTTTTCACGTGGTGAAAAGCAGAAAATCCTAACTTGCTTAGAAGTGTACTAAAAATGTAGAGAAAGAAGAGTAAAAATACGACAAAAAAATATATTTTATTGGTAACGAACAAAATACATTGAAT